CTCCCGCCGCTCCAGCAGCCGCCCGCCGCGCCCGCAGCTCCGGCCGCCGCGCCCGCCTTGCTTTCGGGCGGCCGGCCGCTCTTCGTCCCCGCCGGGGGTCCCGTCGCGCCCCCTTCCCGTCTTTAGGAAACTTCCTCGGGCGTTGGGACAGGGGGCTGTGGGACGGCGGCGCGGCGGGTAAACAGAGCAACAGATGAGGCGCTCCGGGGCTCGCGAGGTGCGGGGTGGCTGGGCTGGCCCGTCGCGCTACACACCCCCTGCGGCCGGGGGCGGGCGCCCGTGCCCGGGGGACCTCGCCAGAGACCCTCGTCGTGGCGGTCGCGCCGCGCCTCAAACTTTACAAAGAGTGCAGTCGCCCGCGCCCGGGGCGGGCGACACCGGGACGGCCAGCCAAGTTTGGGGCGGCTCGGTGCGGTGCCGTGCGGTGGCGTACACTGCCCTCAGATGCGGCCGCCGTGCGGCGGGTTTGACGTTTCGGAGGCGGTGGGGTCGCCTCCGCAGCCAGGCCGCCGACTCGTGTGTTTTGTAATCAAAGTGTGAGGCTAATAAAGGGCGGCGCCACAGCCCCTTGACTCCGGCGTGGGAGGGATTCGCAGGCATTTAAACAAAGAAACTAGTTGGGGTTGGGCTCCCAAAGTCCTTATTTGGGTGTTGTGGCAAAGCCTGCGGTCACCTTTAGGTGAAGGCAGGTTTCCTGGGCACAGCGGGGTGTTGTATCTTGTCGAGGGCACGCTCTGGAGTCTTCACTGATACTAGGACCGTGATTGTAGGAAGTGTCCTTTGATTGACAGCAGGACATTTAAATACAGCCTCCGCTCCCCCTCCCCAATTTTGCGGAAACATTGAACGACCAGGCCAGATGTCTTCGTCTCCCTCTACTGGCCTGGGGAGAGAAAAACCATTGAAATAACGGGGGTTCTTTTCAGTGTTAATAGGTAGAGTCTTAATTTTCTAGTGCAGTTAAGTTTATTTAGTTTTCAAGGTACGTTTTTCTGACAACAGATAACACACAAAAAGCAATCACTTTTAAAAAAAAAGGTAATGTCCTTGATTTGTGTAACGGTAATATTGAACAGTCTGACATGTTGAGTATTGTAACCTTGCCAATTATTAAAATGTTTTCCTATGTTTTAATTATATGTGAAAGTGAAATTTGAAGATACCAAACCTTCCCAATTATCTTCCTACAGCCTCTCTTTCTATAATATTCTAAGTAACCAGAAGAGAATATCCAAAATTTAAGTTCTATGAAGAATAAAAATAAAAATAGTAATTAATGGTAATTATGGAAATGTGTTTGTTTTCAGAGAATTATTTGTTGGAAATCTGCACCATTATGCAGTGCAGAGATTTGATAGAATAGTAAATTATAGCTGTTTTTTTTTTTTTTTTTAAAGCTTTTATTACCTGGGGCTGGGGATCTAAACGCAGGTCCTCCTGCTTGTGCAGCAGACTCTTACCAGCAGTTTTTGGGCTTAAGTTAGATAACTTAATACTAGATCCAGGACAGATCTCAGGTGTTGGGAATTCTGTTACACATTTAAGTACCTTTTTTTTTTTTTTTTTTTTCTTTTGTCTTTTTGAGACAGGGTCTCCCTGTAGCTCCAGCTGTCCTGGAACTCACTATGTAGACCAGGCTGGCCTTGAACTCACAGAGATCCACCTGCCTCTGCCTCCCGAGTGCTGGGATTAAAGGCATGTGCCACCATGCCCAGCAATTTCTCTTTTTTTAATATTCAAAGTTTTTTAAATTTATTTTTATTTTATGCATATGAGTGTTTGTCTGCATGTATGGAAGTGCACCTGTGTCATGCAGAGCCAACAGAGGCCAGAACAGGCCTTGGATCCCCTGGAACTGTAGTTAACAGGTGGTTGCTAGTCATCCTGTGGGTGTTAGGAATCGAATGGAGTTGGGAATTGAACCTGAGTCCTCTGGAAGAGCAGCCTGTGTTCTTAACTGCTGAGCCATTTCTCTAGCCCCCTGGATAATTTCTTGATAATTTTGTTTTATTGAATAGAAAAACTTAAATTTGTGGAATCAAGGAGTGTTGATGTAAATTTTGATTTACTTTCCTTGCATATCTGATGTATCTGATTGCTGGAAATCCTAAAAGTTACCTTAATTTCTCCTGACAAAGGAGAGGGCCTTCATTGATGTAGCTACACTGCAGGGGGAATAGGTCCAAGACTGTTAAACTTCTGCTGCATCCTTGGTATTCAGGAATTCCCATCCCCTAGCCTGCCTAAACCTTTTTGCAAGGGAGAGGAAAATAGAACTTATCAGACAGGGTATATTATATAATAGATTCCCTGGAGTCAGAGAGCTGATAAATGAATAGAATTTTCCAGGGACGGTTCCTTCCAATTTAGAAATAGAGTTCTTCCTCTCTAATCCTTGTTGGAAATAAGACAATGGAGGTCTTTCTATATGCTACCCTGCCCTCTAATCTCTGCATAGTATGCCCTAAGCTGGCCTGGAACTCACTATGTAGACCAGGCTGGCTTGGAACTCAGAGATCCACCTGCTTCTGCCTCTAGAGTGCTGGGATTAAAGGGGTGCACCACCAGGGCTGCATAACTTTTAATTGTACTTTGATGTCATCTCATAAAAATTACACTATTGTCCTAATTAAATTGTATTAGAATGTCTGTTGTGTCCCATTTAGAATTAAATACTTATATTAGTCTTTATAATAACATTCTTTTGATTTTTAACAAAAGTAATACATTATGAAACATTGGAAAGTATAATATGAAAGTCTGTGTCTTCTATAGTAGTCCAGTATTTTAATATTTAAATTATAATTTGTTTATATGTTGTCTTATCTTTTTCCATTAATGTGCATTTTTCTCATATTTAAAAAATGTTTTATTGTATTTTATGTATATGAGTGTATTTCCTGATTGTAAGTGCACTTGCGTCATGCAATACCTGAGGAAGTCAGAAGAGGGCGTTGGATCCCCTGGGACTGGAGTTACTGAGGTTGTTAGCTGCCATGTGGGTGCTTGGGAATCAAACCCAGGTCCTCTGCAAGAGCAGCCAGTGCTCTTAACCACTGAGCCATCTCTCTAGCTCCAGCTTTTCCTCTTTTTTTTCCTTTTTCCTTTTTTTTTTTTTTTTTTGGTCTTTTTGAGACAAAAAGGGTCTCCCTGTATTGGGGCTGGTCTGGAACTCACTGTGTAAACCAGGCTGCCCTGGAACTCAGAGATCCTCCTGCCTCTGCCTCCCGAATGCTGGGATTAAAGGGAGGTGCCACCACACCCAGCCTTTCCTTATTTTTAATGCTATTTGGAAGTATTTTTAGTGGCTGCATGGGTTTTAATTCCACAAAAGTACAACACATTTGAAAATTATTTTCCTGTTACTTTGTTTTACTACTTTCCTTTATTAATACTGATATGATTGATATGTTCTAAAACAAATTATTATTAGTATCTCTTATTTCCTTAGACTTAATCAAATGCATTAATACAAGTAAAACACTTAGAAGACTGGGCTCATACCAGGTACTCAAGAATTTTTCTTTACTAGAGTTGGTGGTGGGATGGTACAGATTATTTTCAGTTTAGAGTGCCTTTTGCCAGCTTGTCTTCTGAAAGGTTATTCTTGTTTATATTCACAAACAATGCCCATTTTCTAGTTCCCTGCATCTTTACCAATCTAAGATGTTACTAACTTCCCTTCTCAAGCAACTTTGCCAACTTGTAGATAAGTGAATATTACCAAAAGATATCTATTTGTACAAAATGGGATGTGACTGTAATCTGAGCATTTTTGAGGTATATGCAAAAGGAGCACAAGTTAAAGGTTAGCCTGGGCTACACAGTGAAACTGTGTCTTAAAAACAGTACTAAACTAAAACAGCCTAAATATCAACAGTAGATTGCATCAGTTTTGGTATCTTCATAAAGTAGAATACTATCAGCAATAAAACAGATTGCAGTAATATGGATAAAACTCAGAAATGTGTAGTTGGACCCAAGACACCAGAAGTAAAAGAGTATACTGTTTGAATTCATGTATGTGAGGTTTAAGTACGCATTATAACTGGGAAATAGAAACCAGAAGGGTGTTTATGTTTTTGAAAGTTTTGATTGGAAGGGTGCTTCTGAAGTCAGGAAATGTTCTGTAATATTTTGATCTTGGGTGCTGGTTACCATGAGTGTATTCAGGTGTGAAAGCATGCTGAGTTGTATTGCTTACACTGAAGATTTAAAAAATTATTTTAGTGAGATTGAAGTATACTTAAAACATTGAAATAAAAAGTTTAAAAATTGGGCCTGGCGTGGTGGTGCATGCCTTTAATTCCTGCACTTAAGGCAGAAGCAGGTGAATCTCTGTAAGACTGAGGCCAGCCTGGTCTCCATAGTGAGTTCCAGGCCAGCTATGGCTACAGGGAGACCTTGTCTCAGAAAGACACCCCCCCCCCCAAAAAAAAAGAAGTTTAAAAATTGGGAGCTGGAGAGGTGGCTCTAGTAGCACTAACTAACTACTCTTGTAGGAGACCTGGGTCTTCTGCACCCAAGTCCAACAGCTCACAGAGCTCTTGGAGATCTGGTACCCTCTTCTGGCCTCCTAGGGTTCCTGCATCAGTGTGGTACGTGTAAACTCAGAAGGGCTTAACACATACCTGTAAATAAAAAAAATAAATCACAGGGGCTGGAGAGGTGGCTTAGCGGTTAAGAACACTGGTTGTTCTTGCAGAAGACCTGGGTTCGAATCCCAGTAC